AGACCTTAGACTGCATCCTGGAAGGCCTCTGTACTAAAGAGAAGTGTGGTAATCCCCCTTGACGCCTTCCCTTCAGAACTTCTTTAAGTCACCCTGGCTGGTAAGGATCCAACTGTTGAAATAGCCTTGGGGGAGTCAGACCCTGTCTCTTCTTTGACTTAGGGCCCATTTCATGATCCAACAAGACTGTTGCAGCTCCAGTCACTATGAGCACATTCCAGTCAACAAGGAAAGTGCAGGGCCTTCTGGTCTCTGAAGTTCACAAGCCAGAGTCTGCATGCTTCTGAGGTATCGCGGAGGAGAGGGTGACAGGGGTAATGCCATCAGGTGCCCAGCTAAACCGGAAGAGGACATCACCAACAGAAGGGAAGAAAAACAAAGCTGAGACACCTAGCACTCTTCCTCCTTCCCTGAGTCCTCATCAAACTCGTCTCTGCACGCGTGCGCCCTTCCTCCACCAGGGCTGCTGCTTCTGAACCCTGGCCTCATCCCTGGGCAGGGAAGCCATGTGATTGAACAGCTGCTGTCTGAAGTGCCATCCATACTTGTGTCTTCTTGATCCTTCAGACACTGTTACTTAGGTTCTGGGTCACAAGTCCACAGGACACTACCTCTGAATTGGGGGGGGGGGGCGGTGATAGAAACTTTAGGGACAGTAAAAAGTTTCTGAACATACAAAGATCAAGAAGTAATTCAAGGGGAGGCAAGATGGCTCCTCTGGAGAGGCATTTCACGGCAAACTGGATGACCCAAGTTTCATGCCTGGGACCCATGTGGCAGAAGGGAGTTGACTTCCAAAACTGCCGTCTGATGTCCACATTCACATTGTGACACACACATGTTCCCTTTCCTCTGTTAGGTGCAATAAACAAATGGCAATACAATCGCTTTTTACATTAATTCAAAGTCAAACAATGACTCTGAGGTGTTTTGGACAGTGCTCACCGGTGTTGAATCACGTGCCTTCACAAAGCCTTGGTTCTGCACATGCTTGTGCACTTTGGACTGCACATGCCTTCATACCACCACAGTGCCAACAAATTGCCTGAACGACAGCGCAGATTCCAGACATTGGATGCTGTGAACTACAGTGTTTGGTTTGCTTGGTTGGCTTGGTTGTACATACAAAGTTTTTCTGTGTTATTGGAACAATAAGAGTTGAATTGTGGAAAACAAAGACTTTCAATACTTCCTTACCGCCAATCCTCAGCATGTAAGGATTAAATCAGTGTATTTTGGGGTTGCATTGTGTTAGAATGTCTGATCTTTAGAAGTGCTGTTTGAATGGCTGACTTGAAGATGGAAAGCATTTGCTTGGGAGCTGGGGTGATCCGGAACACTTGCTGTGCATGGATGAGGACCTGAGTCTGGAACCCCAGCACCGTGGAAAAGCTGGCTGTGACCAGATCTGTAACCTCAGCTTCTCCACTTTCATATACACAGGTGATAGCACCTCCACATATACATAGGCACACAGGCATATGCACGTATGCATGCACACATGCACACACACACACACTGTTCAGTGAATTTTTGGATTAGGATACTGAAACAATTTCCAACACTTTCTGAAATGGCCTAGACACATTTCTTCACGTTATGCTATGTATTTATGCGAAGAGGCATTCTCGGCACGGATGATTATAAAATCAAAATATCAACCAACTCTAAAGAACGTTGTATATGCCATGTCCTACATCATTAAATATTCAGCTACGATCTATTCCTTGTGAAAAAGCAAGCAGATCCATCTCATTAGCATGCAAATTTATTTTCATCTTTAATCAATTGTAAAATTGCATATATACCACAGACTTCTTTTACATTCAGTTTCTTTATGATTATCAGTAGGTGTTTGACCTTTGCTCCTATTAAATTCTCTAAATATCAGGGGTCAGATCAATGGTCTCAGAGGTAAAGGGGCCATGGGTGGAGACAATTACAGAAATAAACCTTCCACCAGCTAAGATGTCTCTCACTTTCAGCTCAGAGCCATGGCCTGTGTAGTCCAAGGACTTACCCTGGGACTGGCACTGTGTTTCTCTGGGGCACCTCAGGCTACCTGATACCCCAGATGTCTCTTTATTGGGGTGACAGCCCTGTCTGACCTGTGATTGGTTGAGTGCATTGTATGCTCCACAAATGCTGCTTGCTTGGAGCCTCGCAGGTGGCCCTGTGGGGACTCCAGATCCCAGCTCAGGTCAGGAGCTCTTCTGTCTACAGTCACAGTGACTTCCAATGGGAGACTGACAACAAGAGCATTCTGGTTCTGAAGGGGTAATTTTCCTGGACAAGAGAAGGCAGGAGTAAAAGTGACACTCCAGTGGACAAGTGAACTGGGCATGGAGGAGTGAGGTAGGACAAGGCCAGGCAGCTAAAGTAGCCTACCAACAGCCACTCCTGGCCCATAAAGCATGAGAAACAACCAGAGGTGTGGCAGCCATGGAGTCCTCTTCATCCATGACACCTAGGAACCTTGTCTAGCTCCCAGTTCCCATCGCTCTGGGCTGGTCCCGATCCTGTTCCCCTGGTTTCTTTTGGGAAACACATCCTACAGACTCCTTAACTATGTGGAGTCAACTTTATCTTGTAGTGTAGGAACACATGAGAAATGAGGGAGCCCTATATCAGACACAGTGGTTGGCTTAGAGGTGATCAGGTGACCCAGGTCCAGCTAATTAGAAGAAGACTCTCCATCTCAGCTTAGATGTATAGTGATTGGCTTAGATGTGATCAAGTGACTCAGCTCTGGCCAATCAAATGAGTCTCCATCTTAGACATGATGATTGGCTTAAGGTTAATCAGGTGACCTAGATTTGCCCAATACGAACCTGAACTGCCACCACTATTATAAAGGGAAGGAAAGCCCTTCCTGGAGGGATTTCTGGCCCTGGGACTGTTGCAGACAATTCTCCTACCTCTGGGGATAGGCCTGTGAGTAAAGTCAACACAGAAGAGAGACACAAAGGGTTGCAGGTCTGAGCGTCTACAACTAACCACCCTGAAGCAGAGGGGAGCAGGTTTTCACGTCCATAAGCCAATGAGATCAGCCTCTGTTGCAGCAATTGGGGTGAATCTCTTGTCACTTGTGACAAAATGAAACCTCATTGACGTCACTCATGGAGAGAGGAAGCAAATAACCCTTTGCTGTCACCTACCCTTGACCAACATAGCACCAAGGGGCTTTCATCCCAGACCCTGGCACCTTTTCCTTCTTGGAAGATGGTGTCACTCCATATCTGAGGCTCCATCCCATCCTTTGCTAAGTGGAGGTGTCCCGGTAAGGGCAGCTCTAAGCCAAGGTCTAGAATACCATAGTGTGCCAATATCTTCAGCATGCCAGGAAGTAGGCTGGCCACATAAGTCCCTTAAATCCCATATAATCCCTTCAAGGGCAAATCTAAGCTCCTCTTTGCAGATACAGAGGCTTAGAGAGGTCACCATGTCTCTATACTGCTCAAGTTGGGTTTCTAATCTGATGGAGCTGCTCTATCACATTCCCCAGGGACTCTGGACTGCTTGTCCCTACATGGTCTACTCCTCCCTACCTAGGGGTCAGGGAAACTTCCCAGTTTCCATCCATTTTGAAAGAGCTTGAGAGGCCAGGCAGTGGTGGCGCATGCCTTTAATCCCAGCACTTGGGAGGCAGAGGCAGGTGGATTTCTGAGTTTGAGGCCAGCCTGGTCTACAGAGTGAGTTCCAGGACAGCCAGGGCTATACAGAGAAACCCTGTCTCGAAAAACAAAAAACAAACAAACAAACAAAAAAAACAAAAAAAAAGAAAAAGAAAAAAAGAAAGAAAGAAAGAAAGAAAGAAAGAAAGAAAGAAAGAAAGAAAGAAAGAGCTTGAGAGCAACAGACCACCACTGCCACCAAGTCTAGGAGCTGAGCTTTTAATGCCTCTGCCTTTGTCCCCCATGCAGAGCTAGGCCTGCTGAGGGCCCAGCTGTGGTTTTATAGAGGAGGGATGCAGACTGAGGCTACTCAATTTTGACACCCCACAGTTCCTGTTGGCCTCAAAGCCAAAACTCTCTGAGATAAAGAAAAGACCAAACCCCAAGGAAAACAGCATACCCAGCAAGGGAGCTGGGAACTGGATCCATGAATATCCTAAGGATGAGGCCTGGTCAGGTCTTGCACTGTGTTTCTGAGCTCTTCAGAACAAGGATGGCATCAAGGACTCAGCTGCTCCCTGAAGGTGGGCATATTGGCATGGCTTCTAAAACTCCACACTGGCCTGGAACTGTTGCCACTTGGTTGCTGGTGTAGAAGGAACAAATATATCCAGAAGCCAAGAGGAAGGGCTATGTCTCCACAGGCCAAGTAAGCTGAGAGACATGAGCCAAGGTTTCCATCCTGAAGGGAGGACCTAGGCCTGGCCTGAGACCCCTGGTCTCAGTGCGTTCTTGGTCCTAATGGTTGCAGCCCATGTTGCTGTCACTGTGGTCATTCATCTCTGTGATCCAGCTTCAGCCCTGCACAGGCCCAAAGGCCTGGGTCATTTGTAAAAGCCTACTGGGGCTCGGGGAAATATCTTATCTGAGTGCTTGGGCCCTGCCCAATTCCCAAGCAGTCACTTAACAAGCAGAGACCATTAGGATGGTTAATTAATTATATTAGTTGGTGTTACTTATAACACAACTACCAGCTGTGCTCTTTATATACAAAGTGTTTGCACACACACACACACATACACACACATTCTCTGTGTCTCCCCCCCCTCCCTCTATCCCTCCCCCTGCCTTCCCCCCACCCCCTCCCCCCATCATCTCTCTGTCTTTGAAGCAGCCACATTCTATCAGGGCCCCAGATTTGGGAGATCCATCTGGGGTAAGGGTGGGGGTGTGGAAAACCAGGGCAGGTATGTAAAACTGCTTATGGATTAGATTCCAGCCAATCATGACTGGCTCTGCCAGACTGGGCACCTGAGGACATCTGTGTTCCCGTCCAGTAATCCCTCCATTCATATATCCACTCATTCAGTCACTCATTCTTCCCTTCATCCAGCTAGCATTTATTAATCAGCTACTATGTGTTCCATTCTGTCCTAGACACTTAGCCCTAAGCCGGGACACTTGTCATGTTCCTGAGAGACAAGCTGAGGGGAGGGGTACAGATCCCGCTGGCCCCCCGGGAATTGGGGACTCCAGGTTGGGGGTCTTGGTGGATAGATGTCCTTTGTCAAGCTGTCCCTGTTGAGTGGGGAGCCTCATTTTGCTTTCATGAATTCATTAAAAACAAAGAAAAGAACACTGAGGGAGCCTGCATGACCTCATTCCAAAGGGTGCTGCTCCTGGTGGGGGCTGTGGCTGGGGCGAGTGGGGACAGGAGACGCCTACAGTCAGCCACAGTCTCTGGCTGGGCTTAGGCTGGAGCCACCTGGCTGGTCTCCGTCTTGGAGGCAGTGGCAGAGGCCTCGTCATCTCCCAGTGGATTCTTGCCGCAGCAGAGCGTGGTGAGCATGCAGTTCCGGAACTGGAAGACAAGAGGCACAGTCAGGCTCTACCACTTGCCTAGCCTCAGCCCCACCCTCCAGCATGTCCGATCACTAAGCCTGGCTCCCTGGGGGAGCTTGCTAAACGTATGTTGACCTTCAACCAGAGATGCCAGGGAACACAGCACAAGGGATTTTGTCTGATGACAGTCCATGTCCCATGGATGCGTAGGACCTTCTGACCATGATCTCGTCTAATTTGAGAGTTGAGATTTGGCCCTTCCTATAACTAGGAATACCGAAGCCCAGATGGGGAGATATCTGACTCACCCAAGGTCACCCAGCCTGAATGTGGCACAACTAGAACTTGAACCCAGAGTCTAGGTCCAGAGACCACATCCTTTCTGCAGAGAAACTGTGGCTTTTAACAGCGGCTTAATCCGTCTTCCCAGAACTAGCAATATTTTTAGCAATTTCTTTAGCTTTCCAGTGAGACCATTCTATTCCTAGCCTTGGAACTACTTGATATTTTCTGGTTGCTTCTTGAGACAGACTCTCAAGTAGCCCAGGATAGCTCCCAAATCACTGTATGGCCAAAGAAAGCTTTGAATTTCTAATCTGCCTACTTCAGCCTCCTGAATGCTGAGCTATAGCAGTGTACGACCACAGCCAGTTTTGGGGGTAAGTGGAGCACACATCCACTATTTAGCCCAGGCTGACCTACGGCTCAAGATCCTCCTGCCTCAGTATTAAGATTACAAACATGCACCATTGCACCTGACTTCTAAAGCAGACTTCCAGAACCATTTGGTCAGCTGTATCTCATAGGAGTGGATGGCAGGTCACCCGGAGGACTGACTCCAAGAGATGGGGGGGGTACCAGCCTGAGAGTTCATGGTAGGCCTGCCAGCAGTCTGAGTAGAACGCCTTCCCTGCCCCATCCTCCCCCTCCCATTCTCTCCCTCACTCTCCACACGCCCGGCCTCAGCCCAGGCACCTGCTTGTTCAGCATGATGTAGATGACTGGGTTGTAGATGGAAGAGGACTTAGCAAAGAAAGCTGGCAGGGTCATGAAGATGGGGCCGAAGTTGGAGCCCTGGTGTGTAAAGATGTACATGGCCACACTCGCGTAGGGAAGCCAGCAGATCAGGAAGAAGATGACCATGATGATGACCATGCGGGTGACCTCTTTTTCTGCCTTCTGAGTGGTGGCTGACTCCTGCTGCTGGGCAGCGGCCTGTAGGGGTACAGACTTGTGTCTAGCTGACGGTGTCCACACAAACCCTGGCACCCAGCTCTGGTCACCCAGCACGGGGCTGGGGAGACCCCCACTCATACCTCCTTGACTGTGAAGACCAGCTGCCCATAGCAGAAGAAGATGATGATCATGGGGATGGTGAAGTGGACCACGAACATGTAGATGACAAAGGACTCGTTGTTGACCTCGGGCTTGAGTGTGTAGTAGTCAATCCCGCACGAGCACTGCATGCCCTCAGGGATATACCTGAGGGTCAGTGCAAGGAATGATAAAGCAGGGAGAAAAACACACGCCCAGCCAGACATAAGTGTGGGGTCTACTTCTGTGGGCCTCAGGAAGCATGGTTATTACCTGCTGGCCCTGTCACCAGGTAAGACTTATCCAGCTCCCTGTCACTTGACCACACAGCTCTCCTCCACCAGCCCACTGCCCTTTGGGTGGTTTAGTGGCAGAGGATGCTGGAGAGGGGAGCTGAGGCCTTCTCTGTGAATGCTGCAGTTTGTGCACATAACAGCAATGCTTTCTACAATAAGGGTGGGCCTGCTGCTATCATCAGGGCCTTGTGCAGCTTCCAGAAACGAGGACGATGTGATGGTGATATCTGAGGACAGTGATGTTGGGCTGCACTCAGAACCCAGAGTGTCCATTGAGTGTGTCTGTGGAGGCCTGCCAAGTCAGGTGGGTGAAGGTAAGGGAAGAGGCCAGTGAGGAATGAGGGACTCTGACTCAATCAGGGCCCTGGGTGGACTCCTGGGATGGGGAAGAGATGTGGGCAGAGAATGGAGACTCTCTGAGGCTCTGTGTACCTCATAGCCTGACCAGGTGTCCAAACCACTGTCCCCACCCTCTCTTGTCTCATTTAGATATGGTGACCTGGAGGCTAGATGGGACCTAGTTCCTGGGGCTACAGTGTCACCATGCATGTTGGGAAGGTTCAGCTTCTCCAGGGCCTAAGGTCCAAGGTCAGAGAGAGAGAGAGAGAGAAAGAGAGAGCAAGCTGCCCATGCCCAGAACTCAACCAAAGAGGATTGTGGTTTGGCCTTGGCTTAGCTGAGGATTAGGGACTTGGCCAAGGTGAAGAGTTGGGATGTCCAGGGTTCTCCTTGCTATGGGGCTCAGAGATGGAATCAGACTCTACAGTCCCTCTCTTCTTGTCTGTCTTAGACCTTAGCTTGGGAAAGTCACCAGGATGGTTTTAGGGGGCAAGACCGCGTTACATTATGCCTGGAGCCAATCTGAGGGCTCTGTGTTCTGAATGGGAATCCCATAAAGACCTTGCCAGACCCAATATTCTGTGCTATTACCTGGACCAGCCAACGAGTGGGGGAGCAGCACAGGCCAACGCCATGACCCAGGTGAAGGCCACGCCCATGATGGCATGATTCTCCCCGAAGCGGAAGTTGCTCATGGGCTTGCAGACCACCACATAGCGCTCAATGGCCAGGACCACCAGGGACCACAGGGCGATTTCACCTGCAAGGCAGTTAGGAGCCATCAGTCCTCCAGCTCTGACCTCACGCCAGAGAGAACAAACACCTGCATAGAGTACAGGGTAGCATGGAAGCTGGTTTGAGACTTGAACCAGGCCTTTGGGATTGCAGTGAGCTTGGGCTGGCCAGGAGGGAGGGAGGGGGTGACGAGTCCATGCCAGACAAAGTGAGCAAAGGGACAGAACCAGAGCCTTCTGTTTGGTTAGAGCTTTAGGCTCATGAGAGACACTGCCTCAGAGTGACTGAGTGGCTTAGGGCCACACCCTGGCTAGTGTCTGGCAGGGGAAAAGAGGGGTAAAGAGGGGGCTCCAGACACTAGTCCACATGTTACCCTCAGAAGCCCAATATGGGGAAGGACCACATAACAAACTTCTGAATAACAGGAATGCTACCAACAAGAATCCTGGATGGCAGGTGTGGCCTGGGCCTCACCTCACAGAGACAAGCTCACCAGCATGGTACCCCAGCTTCTGTCCAGAGACTGGGGCTGTGGTCACAGAAGGTAACAGATGCCCAACAGTGCTACCAAGGCAGTACCCTGAACGCGGGGAGATAAGACAGCACCCCTGGGACTCATGCAACCTAGACCCACCGGTCACCCTGGCTTTGGGCTTTGTTACGCCCACTTCTCCTGTTTCCTCCTACATCCACTGGAAACATTTCTGAGTTCCAGCCAGTAGACCCTGGCTCTGGCCTGGGCCCTCCGATATCTCTGTGACTTTTGCCTGCTTCCTGCTTCCATCCCCTCAGCTAAACATGCTCCATCGTTCCTTGAGATAGCCTCACTGATTTTCCAATCAAGTGAGAGAAAGTGTTTGGAAACACTTGGTGTAGCATAGTGGTCCATGCCTTTGATCACAGCACTTGAGAGGCTGAGGCAGGAGGATCACGAGTTCAAGTACATCCTCAGCTACAGAATTTAAGGCCAGTCTGGACTGGACTATGTGAGACTGTGCCGTACTCTAAAGATACAAAAAGAAAAGAAACGGATGAACACTTTGAGATTCCCAGTATATGGAGCATGTACTCTGGTGGAAGCTGACAGGGCTGGCTAGGCAGTTAGACATGCAGTCCACTGAGCCAATTGTTATCTGGACCAGGGATTAAAGGGCCTAGACCTATGTGTCTTTTCTAGCTCACTCCTGGTGCTCAGTCTGCCTCAGCGGACACCCCCACACACTGTGACTCCCCAGTGAGTCCTTGGCCTCTCTGAACCCATGTTTCTTGCATTACTCAAAATGAGATAGATGAACGAACGTTCAGTGCCTGCTTTCAACAACAGCCTAGCTTGGGGTCACAAGTGTTTGTCAATGAATAAGCTAGGCCTTTAGATGATACCCGATTAAAGAGACCCATTAAATGCTTGTTCCTAAGCTGCAGACCCTCCTCAGGCCTTTTCATGCTCCCTTGGCTCCCATGCTCATACCTCCAAGTGTGGCAAAGAAGCCCTCGAGGTTGCAGCCCGTGGGGCCAAAGACGAAGTAGCCATGCAGTGAGGTGTAGAGGGTGGTGGTGAACCCTCCGAAGACCATGAAGAGGTCAGCCACAGCCAAGTTGAGCAGGATGTAGTTGAGTGGTGTGCGCAGCTTCTTGTGCTGTACGGTGACGTAGAGTGTGAGGAAGTTGATGGGGAAGCCCAGCACGATGAGCAGGAACATGTATGCTGCCAGCATGGAGAACTGCCATGGTTCGGCCAGGTAGTACTGCGGCTGCTCAAACGGGCTGCGCACCACGCCCGTGACGTTGGAGAAGGGCACGTAAAAATTGGGGCCCTCTGTGCCGTTCATGGCTGCGGCCTTCGAGGCTGCCCCACGGGCTGTTCGTAGACAGAGACCAAGGCTGCCTGGCGAGCTCAGCCACCTACGGCTCCCACAGCGCAACTCCACGCAGTGACCCCCCCCCAGACCCTTATAAAGTGACCTTCTCCCCCTAAGCCAGAGGCTGATTCAGCATCCGGGAGATATCATACTAATACTAATCCCACTGCTTGCCACTGGGGCCTAATTGGCTTGCAGAGGGGCCAAGGTGACATCGGGTGGAGGCCCTTAGGTAAAGAAAGGGTGTCTCATCTTGTCTGCCCCAGAGTCCCCCAGGAATTCTTCCCATGTCAGTCTGGTGGCCTCAGTTCTTTGGGCCCTAAGTTCACTTCGTCACATTACTCCATTTGACAGTGTCTCCTCCTGAACTTACCCATCCCACCTCTTCCCAGGATACCCCCTGACTTATCCAGTCCCCAGGCCCTGACAATAGCTCACTTGACAGATCTCTGTGTACAGTCAGCTCAGTCCATCACCTCCAGTCTCACCCCACCCCGGCCCAGCAGCTCAATAACTATTTGTTGCCTTCAATTGGAATTTGCTCACTCACTTGTTCATTAAACATTCATGAGCCAGCCACCTGGGAGATGGAGGAGGCGCCCATGGCCCAGCTCAGAGTGCTTCTAGCTTGAGCAAGACTCAGCCAGGGGAGGAAACACATTCCAGTCCAGGGAGGGATGACCATGGGCTACAGAGATCGTATGGGCTGCTGGGTGCGGCAGGACACCGTTCTTGCATGAGGGAGCAGGCTGCCAGGTTATTCAGGAGAACATGTGGGGTCTGGAGGCCACGGTGAGGGCCATAAGAAGTTCTGCCTTATCTAGAAGGCAAAGGGCATACAGCTGGGTGAATCTCAGGGCCAGAGAGGATGACCAGGGACCTGAAGCTCTGAGGTTTTAGAACTCTGTGTAGGCTGATAAATAATCCTACTGGCCTGTTGGGGATGCCAATCTGAGGAAGAGGTCCTGGGCTAGGCCTGGTGTCTGAGGATCACAGGCTGCCATCTCTGCCATGTAGGTGTGATGCCCAGAGCACCCCCCTCCAACCTCCCTACCCTTGTGAAGGATGCTACAGGATGACTGTCAGACCGATATATGTGTGGAATATCCACTGAGTCCCAGAGGAAGGATTTGATTCTGGGGGCCCAAGGGAGATAAGAAAGCACTGGATGCAAGAAGCCAGCACCCTATGAGAAAGTTGGTTCTGAATAGTAGTTACCAGGGTAGACAGGGAATCAAAGAAAGGTTCCCACTGTGTAGTTACTCTGCACAGCCATTCTGGGAAGGTAAGGTTGAGCTAAGAGCTGCTGGTGGGGGAAAATATGATGCCCCTTGACGCACAGGTATCCAGGCGGTACAAAGACCCTGGAGCCTGGGCACAAGGCTGACCAGGGAAGTATTCATCTCTGAGTCTCTGGGCCCTTCAGCACTCCCTTGCTTAGTCTCCTCACTCTGCACCTGGGATTCCTATGTTTGCTTAGGAAAAGCAAGCCCCTTCTTTCCATGCAGGTGTCCTGTTTGAAAAAAGGAACACAGGGCAGGTATGTGTGTCAGGGGCTGGGAGTGGGCCTCTAGCAGTTTAAGGAGCTTGGCTTGGTGATTAAGACCAGCGCTAATGAGGTCAAGGTGGAGGTTCTGATTTTGACTCTGACATGGCCCTGGTGGTCACCCCCAGATCTACCCTGTCCCCTCCCTAGCTCAGCTCAGCAGTGCCTCAGCAGCCAGCTGGTGCTTGAGATAGCTGAGAAGCTTCATTATGGTCTCCTCGGAGGCTGTGCTCATCTGTGAGCCTGCAGGGTGGGCCGGGTACATAGCAGGTAAACATCTGCTGACCCAGTGAGAGAGTAAGCAAGCAAGGTTATCTCTGGGAGCTCTGCCCCTCTCTAACTTGGGTAACAGAGAGGGCTCCACAGGTTGAAAGCTGTCACTGAGTTGAGGGGACACTGGAGTCTGTACAGAGTGCTGGCTCAATGAGACAAGCTCTGGGAGAGTTAAGAGCGTTGTTAGAAGTCACCAGCTAATTGGTGCTGTGTGTCTGCACTTGTAGAGACTGAGGCCTAGCGTCTGCAGCAGGTTGCCAAGGCCCCATATTTAGCCAACAATAGCCAGAGTTATAACCACACAGTCTACAGAATTCTATTGCCATTCGTTGTGTCCCTCCATCAAAACATAGTTCTTAGGAGAGGGCTGCCTGTCTGCCTCCTCAAAGCAACAGTCACTAGATAGTGGACAGAGCCTGGACTGGGTCACATGGACTCAGATGGGGCAGTGAGCACCGAAGGCAGATTCTAGCCTGTGTCTCTGAGTCACCCTGATACTCTTGAAAGCTCTACTTCCCACTCTGGGCCTCTGTTTGCTGGGTCTGAGAAATCTGGGGCATCACAATCTGTCCCTGTCAGTGCAATTAAGGCACCATGGCTTGTTTGCATGACTTGATTTCCCACTCTGGCCCTGGGCCAGTGCAGTGGCACCCCTTCCTTGAGCGCTTGTCTCTGCAGGCTGATAAAACTCATCACCTCAGTCCCTCTGTTTCTCCCTTCAGGTCTCTAAGGAGAGCCAACCCCATCAGGGCCCAGCCTCACTGCGTATATTATTTACTAACTACTTTGACACCACCTAGACCATTTTGTTGCCTTCCTGACCCAGACTCATTTGTGTATCCGGAATGCTGATCAGCTGAGCCTGTTTCTCTGTGTTCAGCTCTTGGTCCACAGCAGCAGGTATTCAAGACACACTGTCCCTGCAAGCCAGGAACCCTCAGCAGAGGTGAAGCTTGCACAGTCTAGCTGATGTGTAGTTTGAGTTCTCTTCAAGTCAGGGTCATTGAAAAGACCAGTGCTACACAGGAGTGTGGTCAGTGAAGAACCGTGAGATGCTTGGATGTTGGGGCCCTGAGAAGCTGTCTCTGAGGCTAGCTGTAGCCATGTTGGCCCTTCAGAAGCAGGGGCAGTTGCAGGGCATTGAACGGAGGATTAGGGACTTAGTCACCTACGCTAATAGCTCTTAAGCCTCAGAAGGAAAAAGTGCTGCTGGGTCAGCAGGTCCCTCCTTTCTCTTCACCTGTGGCTTAGTCCGCTCTGTTGTGTCACCACAGCCTTGCTGAGGACGTCAAGGGACGTCACCCCTTTCCTTCCTTACAGGCCTAATGCTTGCTACACACACTCTTATTAAGTGCGGTGGCGTCTCAGGGCAGCAGACAAATTAACAAGAGAGAAGCCGCAGTTAGCTCCCAGCTGTACAAGGCCTGCTCGGCCCTGTCTTCAATGTGGACCCAGCTAGCAAAGAGGCATAGCTGAGGAACACTAACTCTCAGGCAGAGCTGGGGGGTTAGGGGGAGCTAGCAAAGAGGCATAGCTGAGGAACACTAACTCTCAGGCAGAGGTTGGGGGCGTCTGGCCTCAGCAGCCTTTCAGGAAGAATCTATGGGGATGTAAGTCTCAGAGGAGCATAAGTGGCCAGGAGGGCACCTGCAGACTTCAGACAGGTAGCCCCAGGGCCTGTGGGCAGGCCCATGAGTCTGGGGGCTGACTGGCTCACACTGAGGAGTCACTGTGGGTCCCACACAGGGAAGGAGGGATTGTACCTGTGCTCTAGGCAGGTGCTTGAAGTCTGGGTGGAGGATGGGGAGCAGATGGGTTAGAGCCTTGCCTGGTGGTGCCTTAATACCCCATCACCTCAGCCATTGCTATGTAAACACCAGGACAGGGGAGAGGCATAACAAAGGGGTGTCAAACCTCTGAGGCAGAGCATGGTGGGGGCGGGGCTCCTAGCTTCAGCAGCTATAGAGGGAAAGTTAGGAAACAAAGACCCACAAGGACACGCCACTCACTGGTTGTAACCCTGCCAGTCATCTCCCATCTTCCTCTTCCTTACTATGGTCATGACATGTAGGACACAGGCCCTGACTAGTCTTTCCAAGCTGTGTGCTCCAGCAGTCACCTGTCCCTGGTCTCACCCTCTTCCTGCCAAAACTCTAGGCCCCTGTCCTAACTGTCTGCAGTCAGGGTCACTGAGCTCCACTCACAAATGTTGGCTATTGCTGAAAACACTGTATTCAAGCTGAAGAAGGGCCTTGTGTACAGAGTGCGCTGGGCTGAGTCCAGGTAAGGAAGAGAGCAGAACATGGTGCACGGTGGTCTGCAAACCGGTGTGGGTCCAACTTGGGTTCAGCATGTATGCTTGTTCAACAATGCAGTCACTGAGCCTCAGTTTCACTATCTGTAAAAGGGTACCTCTAGAGGCTGCTCAGACTGGACATGATGATTCACCAGCAGATATTGGAGCTGTGGCCAGGCTCAGCCTCAGGGCCTTGGCTCCCAGCAGGAGTCACCTGAATTTCTGTGATATGGGTTGAGAGGATGCATGCCGGCATCTCAGACAGCCCCCCTGCCTCCAGCCAGAGACCATCTGATCTGTCACTGTGATTGACGCCTGTTGGGTAGCTGGCACTGTTTCCTCCCTCACCGCACTTTTTTCCCAGCCATATGCAAATGATTTCAGTTCAAGGCACGCGCTAATGGAAATCCTAACACATTAATAAATGTTTAGTGGGAGAGAGAGCATGCATGATCATAAGCAATTAGACACTCGGCGGAGGAGTTGTGTTGGCACAACTGTCTGGCTCCCTCCTTCATCCCCATCATCTCCACAGAGACGGGGTGGGGAGGGCCTGGACCTTGCCTGGCTCTCTCATCTACACAGAGGCAGAGGACACCTGGAAGGTCCTGGACCTTGCCTGGCCTCTGCCACTCACTCTGCCCTCATCTCTTCATCTCAGCAATGGGCATGCTACCACCAGCCTCACAAGGGGGTCTTCAGCATGGCTTCCGGCTGCTCCATCTCCCTGCTTCTGCTGGTTAAGACAGTGGGGGAAGGGTGCTGTGTTGCTGCCTGTCCCTGGGCAGGTGGCATGTGAGGGGACTCTAAGGATTACAAGTCTAGGTGCTCTCCTCCTGGCTGCAGGCTCATGGGCTCTAGAATCTGCTGCTCTTCCAGTAATAACCAACACAGGGGCTGTGGCTGAACAGTTTCCCAGTGTGTGTGAGTTC